AGTTATCAAATTATCAATGCTAGTTATCAAGTAATTAGTCCAACTCTTTGTTTCTTATTTGTTTAATTGAACAATTATCTGGAAATTTCATCTAAAGGAGAGTTTATCAGCTGTTTTTCCCTCATACATTCCTTTTTTAAAAAAAAAAAAAAAAGAATTTTTCGTCTTTCCATGTATTATGAGATTTTCTTGTCGTCAATTTTGCTTAAAAATGATGATTACTTAAAAAAGCTGATAACAGTATTTGAATAGTGATGGATTAGGAGAGAGAGAGAGAGAGAGAAAGAGGGAGGGAGAGAGAGCGAGAAAGAGAGGGAGAAAGAAGGATAATGTATTAGTCTGTAATGTCATAAATAAATTTTTGAAATGCATGAGATTAGTTTTTGTCCACAGTTTCCTGGGACATTATTAAGCTTTTAGAGAATCAAAATGGTAATAACGAGCGGCGGAATTTTTGTGTTCCATTCCTGTCATCTGTAAACGGACGCCCTTTTCGTAGTGTCATTTATTTAAGCAAACGAAAAGACAACAAAATGATGTCACACACGTACAGACACATGCATAGACACATGCACACACATACACACACACACACACACACACACATGTACACACACATCTTTGTTGGTTTTAAAAATTTTACAGAAAAGAAAAAAAAAGAAAAAAAGAAATCGGAAAACAAAAAAAAATTGAACGAAAAAGATAAAAGGCGACAAGTGATATTGGGATTTTTTCAATGATATATACATACATAAATGTTGTCTTTCTGACCATTTTCTTTTCTATTTTTCCCAATTTTTTTTTTTACAATTTGATTAATTATTTATTCAAAATGCCAAAGATTAGAATGGTAAAGCAAAAAAATAAATTTTTTTTGAATAAATTTCAAAAATTTTGCTTTCTCAAATTTGAATTTATCCATTCATTCATCCATTCATTCATTCACTCATCCATTCATTCATTCATCTATTCATTCACTCATTCATTCATTCACTCATTCATTCATTCATTCACTCATTATATACTATAAACTATTTTCACATTTTTCAAATTTATGCGAAAAGGAAAAAGTAGTTAAAATTGATAAGGATATTAAAAAATAAGGGAAATTAACAACTTTGATGATAATCTATCCATATATCCAAACATAATTGTTTATTACTTTGTCATTTTGATAATATCAAAATTAGAAAAAAAAATTAGAATTGATTTGATAATATCAAAATTAGGATTTAGTCTTGATTTGAATCAATTTGTACTATAATTGTCAACAAGTAACATATTAGAAATAAATTATATGACTAACTTGTGAATGCAGAACAATGTATACGTAATCTATTACTTTATACTAATTATAAAATAAACAGGTTTATCTACATACGATATTACTCAAAAGTAGATTGATTGATTGATTGATCAATCGGTTTTGCTTGAATCATTTTGTTTATCAAACAAAAATTCGATGTCATAAATCAAAAAAATAAAATAAAATAAAATGTGGAGAAGAAGGAAGAGATAAGAAAAACAAGTCTTAAAAGTTCGGTGAGAATAAAAAAATAAACAATTTGTTTATAAAATTAAATAAAATGGCATACCGAAGATTTAATTTCCAGATTGCTTTATATGACTCCGTATTTTTCATTTGAGAAACCAGTCAATCTTCAAGTATTCACTCAACAGAAAGTATATAAATACGTAAGCATTTCATAGAATCACAAGAATTGATGAGCAAATACCTTTTCTCACACATTGATTGATTACTACTTGATATCGAATAAGCTATAATTAATTCCATTATTATATTTTGAGTCTAGATTACATTTCTAATAAGTAGATTGAGACATGAAATGGTGATGAAATAAAAGATCGTTGATTAGTTGAGATATTCCGAATTAATTTATGTTATACTTGATATTTCTATTTCGTCCATAATTAGATAATTATAGATTTTAGAGAGTGAAAGAGAGCGAGAAAAGAGAGAAAAGATATCAATGAAAGAAGAAATTGAAACTTTTCACATATAATATGATTTTTAAAGTGATTTAAAAAAATTTTTTCAACATTCTTTCAAATTATTGAAAAATATCTGAATGTTAAATTTTTTATTAACAAATTCATTTTAACCAGTCCTAAAAAAATTAGTGTTACTTATATTTACCGTTGTCTAATTTAATTATGTGATTTTTTTTTTTTCAACTAGATGATAAGAATTTTGTTTGTTTATTCGTTTGTTACAATCGAAAATGTGACATATTAGAGAAAAAATAATTTACTTTTATTGGTAATTTCTTTTTTTCAACACTGTTAATTACTACAATTAATTCATTAAATCCATTAAAGCTAAGAAGGATGAAAAAAAGCAAAATTAAATTCACTGAACATTACAAAAAAAAACAAGAAAAGTAAAGCGGAATTGGAAAAAGTGATCCTATTATTGCTGTTACTTAAAAATACGATAGCACATTATTTTGAAAATGTCGCACATCACTGGATAAAAAATGATTTTTACTTTTCTCTTTTCTGGATTATTGTAATTTTTCAAGTTTTTGGCCGACTTTTCCTTTCAAACTCTACTAGGAAATATCAATATTTAATGTTTTCTTAAATTTAATTGGGAAAAGCTTACGATTATCTAATTTGATCATTTATACTAATCTAAACAGAAATTGAATAAATAGAAAGAATTTGTTCCAAAATGGTATGATTATGAAGAAAATGCTAGAAAGGGTTAATTAATGTAAAGCAGAATATTATTTATCACATTATCAGCCAGAAGTATTATACTACTGTTAATTATGATTCGATGAATAATCTTCCATGTTAACTTATTAAATTATTCAAAAAAATTGGCAAAAAAAAAGGAAACAAATATTTTATCAAATCAAAAAAGGTATTAATTTGTCCTATTCAATGCAAGCTTTAATCTTCTTATGTTGAATTTATTTCAAATTATTTTATTATATATTGCTCATTTTATGATTATTATAAATTTTTTTGTACCACGGTAATACAATTAGATACAGTAAGTTGTGCAGTGTAATGTAATGTAGCATAATATGATACAGCAATATGGCGTAACAGTATACTGTGGTTACTGTGGTATAACTTCGTAGTATGATATAATTGTAGATAGTAATATAATTTAAAGTAATAATTAATTGTGATAATTATTTGTATTATGTTTATACAAATATTTCTCTGCAAATATTTTCTTTTATTTCTTTTTCCTGTTTGAAATTCACAAGTTTGTTTTCTTGTTTATTTTTTGACAAATTAGAGATATTTTCCGAAATCCAAACCGGATTTCATATTTGTCTTTCACGATGGAATACCTTTTGATAGATCTTATTGTATTTCGAAAACACTTATCCGTTTTATCAATACCACATTACTGGATTATGATAACGTGGGAAAAATAGAAGGAATAAAATCTTCTGCTTTTACTGTCATAGCGATATTATTTTAAAGGCGGAAATCATCAAGAGATATTCCGGTTACTTTACCTGTACATATCTCGAATGGTGTAATGGATATTTTTGCTTTATCAAAAATCCTGAATTCGAATTCTCAGTAACTCCGGTTATTTTTCGGCAATCATCCAAAAAAAAAATTTATTTAGATACATAAAACATGTAAAATTAAACTTATTAAGTCATATTTTTGCGGGAAATTGAGGAAAATTTCTCTACCTTTTTTCGAAATCGAAAAATCGTAGAAAATCAGAGCAGTGAAAGAAAGAGAAAAAAATTTAAAGATAAGAGAAGTGAAATGGAAATAGAGAGAGAGAGAGAGAGAGAATGAATGAATGAATGAAAGAAAAGGAATTTGTAAAGAGAAAGTATTTTTTGCTCCTTTTTTTTTGAAGATATCAAGCAAGATAGTCGAAATTACATTTGTAATACTGGCATCTTTTGTACATACACTTAAAAGCATCGTAAACTAGACGGAAAAAAAAACGAACTTTTTCAGCTTTTAGCTTGATAACATTCCATAGATTGATAATGATGAATCATTCCCGTCCCGCTTTTTCTAATTCTCCGCGGTAACATATACCATTATTTGATCATTCATGATATCTTTTATCAACATATAACCTTCTTTCTTTCGTTTTTTTTTCTCCTACATTTACCCTCAATTTGCATTAATATATATTAGAGAACTACCCATTTCATACTTGAAAAAGAAAAAAAAATTAGCAAAAATATAACAAAAACGACGGATAGATCCAATATATCAGCTTGTATCTTTAAAAAAAAAAAAAAAAAAACGTACAGTATTATGAGGAATGGAAAAATAACACTTAATAAGAAATACAATTTCTGGAATGACAGATATGTGTATGAAAACAAATGATAGATCTATTCCGGAAAGAAATGAAGAGAAGATAAGTAAAGATTAGATTGTAAGTGAAGAAAATGAATTGATAATAGCTAGTCAAATTTGATACTGATTTAATACATTTAGATTTAATATTTGATTTAATAACTATTTAAGCAATAATTATCTGACCACAAGTTATTTCAAATTTTCATATGATCATTAGCATTCAGCTTTTCCCAGTACCATTATTTGATTACTTATAGTTTAGACTATTTGGCTTAATAAAAGATTATTCATATCACAAGATATTGCATTCTTATTCCATATTCCATTGGAAAAAATAATCAGTTGAGGTAAAGAATAATTGCAGGAAGTGATCGATAATATGGAAGGATCAGGAAATAGCAATAATATGATCGAATGGTCTGATGATGAGGATTTAGGCGGTGAAGGTTCGGGTGATCAAAGTGAAGGATCCGGTGATACGGAACATGATCACGAACAAGCTATAGCACCAATTATTACATCTGAAGATGTCCGGCATACGGTAACCGATCGAATTACCACTGCCACTTACAAAGGTCATATTTTGCTTCATCTTTTACACTGTACTTTATTATCCAGTATTGTATTTCCAAAATTCAATTCAAAAATCAGTCAATTTTAATGGTATTTTCTCTTATGCTACAAATGTTAATTAAATAGATTAATGATCAAGTAATCAAATATATATACAGGAAATTAAAATGAATTTTTAACTATAAAGTAACTGTTTTTCATTAGATAAAAAAATTGGTGAAAAGATAATAGAAGATAAAGGACAGTTGTTTGGAATTTACATTAACTTTTAAGTGACAGAATAAAAGAAAAAAGTCAAATATATTACGGAAATTACAAATTCAAATAATATTTACGATTTATTTCCACAAACATTGATTATATCTTTATTTGGTTTGTACTGCAATAAGAAATATTAGTTGTATCCTTATTTGGTATTCATTACAATAGGAACTGATACTAGTTATATGATAGCTATTAATTATATCCTCATTTGACATTTGTTGCAGTATGAAATAGTAAGTAATTAGATGATAACTGTTGTAGAATATTAGTCATGCAATAATTATTAAACTTAATACTACATATTTCTAATAAAGATCTTTTTGCATTCAATTGTAATTTATTCATTTTATTTTTTTTCCTTTCTTTTTTTGATCTTTCGCTGTGTTTTTTTTTTCGATTACTAAAAAATTGTCAGCGTAACGATGATGATCGTACCTGTTGATATGATGTAATATGGTAGCAATAGAATGAGTAATATAAATAGAATTTTTGATTTCAAATATATGGAAATATTTCCCTTCTATCTTTAATCCATAAAATTAGAGTAATTTTCCGAAGATTTTTCACTTTTCTTTTCACTTACTTTCCTTTTTTCTATGAATAAACAATTACTTTCAGTAGCACTAATTAATCAAAAAACCGTTCTTCTTGCTTCATTGTTACATATTTTCAACTTTTACTTTTCTTATTTTATTATGAGGAAAAACAAAACAAATTCTGTCACAAAGATTGGTAATAGAAAAAAGGGAAAATTTTATAATTTCAGGCAAAATTTTTTTGCTATATCTTGAGAATTTTATATATATATATATATATATATATATATATATATATATATATATATATATATATATATATATATATATATATATATATATTATATATATATATATAT